CTCTCATATTGTTATCTATAGTTGATGGATGTACTCGTGCCATCTGTGCACTTTGAACTGGCTTATGATTTGTACCTTCTCATCACATAATTAGAAACAAGTGTGAACAATTTTGAATCGTTGTGTATAAACGATGACAACTGTGCTTTAGTTGTGTTTAAGTTCTGCTGTCCTCTCTTTAGTGTTTTGCAACACAAGTTCATCACAGTGCGAATTGTGTTTTACTGAGTGAGAATGTGTTTAGAGTTTAGCAAAAAGAGTGCATGAGATTTGCTAACAGAGTCTAAGTGCCTGAACTTGTTTAAGGTTTTGCAGAAAGAGTGATTTATTTGACAAACTGGTTTAGGCTATTGAGAATTTAGTTCAGAGAATGGGGTTTATTGTTTTAGCAATTGTGAAAAACTGTAATATTGCATTAAGAGCTATAGGTTGGTTTTCATAATGTGTAATACCCCAGTTTAACACGATATTTAAAACCCTAATTCATCTTCACACACTTATTTTAATATGTGTAAGTGGTACAGAAACAGTCTGAACCTATGTTTTACCATACTAGTTATTAGTTTGCCATTGGTCGCTTTGCAAGAATTCTAATTTAGGAGCAGTGGTCTTCAATTACTGTTATTGTGACTCATTCTGTTTCACATATATGCAGCTTCTTGTCAGTGGTTAGCCAGCACTTTTACGAGCGTCATCGTGGCTTCTGCATTAGACACCATGTATGTCATCTATTTCTGTCTAGTGTCATCCACTAAATCCTGTGACCTGACTTTTTAATTTAGTTAAGTTTTTAATTATTATTGTACTTTATTAATCCCCATGGGGAAAGTTCTTACTGATGGTGGCGCTGTTAGTTTCTGCTTGGCCACCAGGGACAACTAGGTGTTCAGTGTCTTGCCCAAGGACACTTCGATATGTGGACTGAAGAGACCAGGAATCGAACCACCGCTCTATCCCCTGAGCCACAGATACCCAATTTAGACTCTTGAGATAATAGTTTAAAAGTGTGCAGAATAAATCTTCTGTATTAAAGGCAGTCATAAAATTACACTTTTATTTAAAAAAAGCTTGTGATACTGTACTGCTCCAATACTCCGGTATATTGCAGGGCTATTGTGAAAGCTTAAAATTACAGTTATGACTTATGTGGTGTGTAAATGAAACTAAAAGGCCATTTAAAATGGGGTTTTCCAGTTGTGCCAGTAATGTTCTTTATCTTTGCTGATCAAGCAGTGAATCATGATACAGAGTCTGAACTCTTCAGAACCGGGCATGTAGCTCAGCCAGCAGATTATAAAAGTCAGTTATATATGGCTGTTTAATCAGCACCACGTTACCGTTCATGCTCCAAATTTAACCAGGAAATAAACTTTTATAAAACAAAAAACAAAAAAACCTTCCTCTCTCCATTTATTTGTGATCTTCTCATGCAGTGAAACACAGCCAGTGAGCTTAGTGAACATTCTGCTCTTTAAAAAATTGAAATAATTTATATAATTAATTTACTTTAAATTTTGAAGTAAACAAACTTGATAAACAGCTGGCTGTGCTTGTTAAACTGAAACAGTTTTATTAATTTATTTTACACTGTAGCATTACATTCGTCATCTTACATCTAAATTTAAATGACAATTCCATGGCACAAATGACAGAGAATGTGAATATTGTCCTTACAAAGTAGCCCAGTTTCAAGTGGGTAATTGTTAACTACTCTGACAGCTTGTTGGATTTGGTTATGTTTGTATTCATGTCATAACTGTACCGCTATCGTTTGTACGTGATGGCTAATCTGTTAAATCAAAAGATAGTTATCAATATAGTACCCAATTCCTATACACAAAAATGTATAGGACTACTTCCAGTACTTTTATTTATTAAGAAGACATTTATATATGAATTTGTCAGTAAGTACAAGTTACGCAAAAACACTATAATTGTAAAGAATATTTAGAACTAGCATTAAACACACAAATAGCAAAAAAAAAAAAAAAAAAAAAAAGCTAACAAAAAACAAAAGTTCCTTTCAGTACATTTTGAGGTAATTAGGTGTTGAAACACTGTACAACTCAAAAGTACAAACCAGAAGATTAGCACTGTTAAAAAGTAGTTGATAATTAGTCTGTGGTAATACTAAATGGCTGCATTTAAAAATGTTTTAGATCACTGTGAGCTCTTATGATCAATAGCGGAAATCTACTGCAGATGGTTTTAATTTTTCTGAGGCTTGGCAGAAAGGACTATGATAAATTAAATTTAATCACTTCCACATCTCCTCTAATCAAACCAGCACACAAATGAAGAAAGATCCAACACATCATAGAAGGTGGAATCGGTCAACAGTTTATTTGATAAATTACAACAAACCAAGCAGCATATAATATTGTAACAATCAGGACTACATAGTAAAGTTATATAGCATGATCAGTCTTTAATTCCTTTATCTGGCAGAAAAATATATGAAAACCAAATGAGCATTTATATTATATATCACTTTTTTATGATGTCTACCATTTGAAAAATATGTGTTTTGGCTGATAAACTTCATAAATCATTTTTATTCCAAAAAGGTCCTTGATTATTGTGGAATGCATCTGTTCTTTTTAAAATATTCTTTCCATCTATTTTTCATGTAATATTTACTACAACTAAATAGTTTACCAAATCCTAGATCCAATACAAGCCATACAGTCTTTCTTCATTTTTTATTTAAAGATAATTTGTTCCAGCTATCTCTTGCATCTTTTTTCCTTCCTCCCCTGCTGATGTAGCCAGACGTGGACCCCTTCGCTCCGGCCAACATGATCACGATGCAATCTCTCACACAGTCTGTTGTTGGTGGGAGGCAAAGCGGGGGGCAGGCGGAGAAATAAATAATACCCTCATCAGCATATTGTGACACTATCCCTTGTGACGGTCAGATGAAATCTGGGACACAGTTGCATTCATCGTTCAGTGAGCTCTTCCACACAGTTAAACCCACCGACAGCAATGAATGTTGATTGTGACCTTTGCTGTGCTTTAGAAGCTGGGGGGTATTTTTGTTTGCTTGTTTGTGGAGGAACACTGTTCTTCATGTGATTGTTTAAGAAGTTGCCGGCTGTGCTTGTGTGCAGGTTTCTGTATGCGTTTGACTTCTTTTTGAGACAAGGAGTGACAAAGGCTGGCCACAGGGTACAATCAACGGTCGATGGTTTTTTCAATTTAGCTCAAACTCACCGACAGCGTTGAATGTTCACTGGGGCGAACACAGACCTGATGGTGACCAGAGATGGCATTCTGCTTAGTTTTGCAGAGGGACCAAGTCTTCTCTGTGGGCAGAGAGGCTTCTAACTCTGTCCCTTCTTTGTTGGGCAAGAACAACACTCAAAATGCCATTTGTGTTTTACCATACTTGATGAAGCTATTTTCTCCATTTTGACATATCAGATATCTACAAACTTCATCCCTGAACAGTAATCTGGTATCTCTTAGAATTAGAGGTCATAGAAATGCATCCACTGTGCTTTTTCACCACGTTCTTTGCACCTGCATTCACAAAGTGCACCTGAGTAGAAAAGACAGAAAAACATTAATATCAAAGGAACAGACATGCTGTGATACACAGCAGATGCAATTTGTTATTAGATTCAGGCTTCCTGTTCTCTCTTTCTCCAGTACCAGTGCCCCTGTAAACAGGAAACAAACAAACGAAAAACTCCTGCTTAAGTCCTGACAGTGGCAACATTTGATTGTCACCAAATGAGCGTTATGAACTGTTAACTTATGACACATGCTCATTGTGATGTCAAAGGCAGTATTACTGTATGGGAACATGTTTTATTCCACTACAAGTAACAGTCAGAAGAGGGAAGTCATCTCGAAACTCATGACTCATAGTGGGTTTTAGTAAACACAGCACCTGGGTGGAGGCTGCTGCCACTTGTCACAAGCACAGCAGCACGGCCTCTAGAGAAGCACCAATATGCCTCAGGGGCTTCATGCAAGCTGAAGGATGAGGAAGATGGGTATGAAACTGTCGACTCATCCAGATCAATCAGCATCTGTTGTTCTCGCTATGATGTGGCACTGTGACTGAAGACTGCTAATACCAGTAAAGAAACTGTCCACCATCATGCATGAAAGATATTATTATGCAGCGTTGAATCAGTGTTGCTGATCATGAGGAAAAAAGTCAAGAATCTGTGAGAGAAATCAGATGCCACAGACCTGATGTACCAATTAGATGTGGTGTGACAATAAAACTGGCACTGAGTCAAGATGTGGTCGAATAATAAGTATGGTGTTAAGATGCTTTATAAGGAAGGATGAGGAGTGACCAAGATGATGTGGTGGATATCTCATCTCCTGCCAAATCCTCTTCACACAAAGCAGTTTAAAATAACATTATCACTCTGTCTTTGCTAATACAAAATCAATATATTTGAAGATTTTTAAAGATTTCTATAGCATGCCAGAAAGCTAAGTACGCTGCTTCTCTTCTCCTTTTCATTTGAAGTGCTGCCTCTACTTTGTCATTTCCTGTGTACCTTAGATGATGTATTCTTCAGAAGAAGCTTTCCAGTTATGAGAAAAACTATATATCATAATTCAAAGTAACTCAATAAAAAAAAAAAAAAAAAAAAAACTGTTGGCTTGCTGCTGACACATAAACCCATGCTTGGATAAAAAAAGCACAGTCCTTGCCGCAAGGGACACCGCTAACTCAGCTTCTCTCCACATTCCCGAACTGTGATTTGAGTGACAGTGTTGGAATTGACACAAGTGGATGAGAAGGAGCTGCTTTATAAGGTCTTCTCTGGCCGCAGGACGAGGGAGATGGTAGGAAGAAAGATCTTGGGATATGCAGCTAGGGAGAGGGAGGAGACGATGATGTGGCCATAATCTGAATGACAAGGTCTGCACATCAGCCCTTAAACCAGGCTGGGTTTGGTGTGTGTGTGTGCGTGGTTTGGGAGAGTGGGGGTGGCTAAGGGGAGAGAGGAAGGACACTGGGGAGAGCGAGAGGAATAAGAACAGACAGAGGGGGGAGGAAGCAGAGGGCAGGCAAGAGTGTCCTGTCTAACATGCTGGCCTTAATGGTTCGGACAGCTGACATTTAACCACTGAATCATTTTTAGATAAGTGGATGTGGTGGGGAGAGAGTGACTTGTAAAAACTTTGGAAAGTGTTTTTTAGGCTAAATATAAAGACATTTGAAAAAGAACGCCTCAGCCAAGGTATAATGCTGATTACAGAACATGGCAGATCTGCCTACTGAGCAAAACAAGTTCAATTCAAGGACAAGGGTACGCTAAAGAGAAGTGAAACATGTTTGTGAGGGGCAGTGAATTGCTGGATCAGTTGGGAAGGTCTGTGCCTAAGTGAGCTAATAGCGCTCCCTTATTTAGTAACTACTGTTGAGGCTCTCTTGGGCAACAACATAACCCACAGTTTGTTCAGTGCAGCTGCTCAGTGGTTGATACTAACTGTAGCAGGCATCTGACACAAGGGAATTACTATGAATGCGATACAGGATGCCAAAGATAAAGGCCACATATGCTGAGCAGATTGTGAATGAAAGAAAGCTATAAAAACTAAAAATGTCATAGCTGGAGGAGAAGCTCTAACAATAGGAAACTAGCAGAACGGGTTTGCGTAATGGATACTGTCAAAGTTTCACAATTAGTACCGACGACCCTGTCAAAACAGCCTAGTAATTCCAGAAAGACAAATCATACAGGAGGTGATTGAATTACTCCAAAGTAACAAAAGAGCAGTCTGTACTCAATTTCACAGTAGCGTGTGAATGTGCCATTCTTTTTAATATGGAGGATTTTGGGACAGGTTTTTATGCTACCATTTCAACATGTATGAGTACTACAGTTTCCCCTCTCTTCCATCTTGCTGTCCTTTCAGATTTAGCTTTACATTATCCATTGATTAAGCTTATTTTAGACTACAGAGGTGTGTATTGTAAGACAGTTTAGAGATAAGAACTCTTTTGAACCGTTTTAAGAGATGCAGTACAATGCTGGGTGTAAAAACAGCTTTCACATTTGACAAATGAGACTCCACTGCTTCATTTTTATCAAGACAAAAAAAAAATTCTACTTCAGATGAGAAAAAGGCAACAATTTGGTTTGCATAAAACATTTCAGTGGAAATCCCAGTTTATGTCTCTCTCTCTCTCAACTTCAGTCATTTTGTTTCTCAGGAGGGGGAGGAAATTCCTGGCGAGGGTGCTGTGAGCTTTTGCTCTCTGCCTGCAGGTACAGGCCAGCCTCCTCTATCTGCCTGTCTGTAGATATCATACCGCGACGTGATCTGTTTAGCTGCCTGGCTTAATGCTCACCTGCCCATGTGCCTCTGGCTTTGTGCGCTTCTCGGGCATGTTTGTGAGTGTATGCTGACTTCTTCCATCTTGTTACAGCTGGGATGGCGTCTCCCTCTTTATCTACTGCCCTGCAATTACAGTCACATACACACAAGATGATAAATGGACTTTTAATACACTGACAAGATATTTACAAATTCAAACATTATTAACCTTCTAGCAAACAATATGCAGTTAACAAGTTAACACACACGCACACCTGAGGACTGACAAGATAGATTAGGAAAAATGGGGTTGATTACGATAATTGTGGGAAAGGCAGGATGTTACATGCACTGAAACAGGACATTAAACATTTGCAAGAATTTATTAAAACCAGCGCCTGTTTCAGACATACACTTCCATCGAATTTATTAAAACCTGCGCCTGTTTCAGACATACACTTCCATCTAATTAGAAAAACAAAAAGTTTAACTGTATAAATATCTCAATAAGCAGAGCAAGGAGTTTTATTCCCTCTCATGCTGAAATTGGATTCTTTCGTCTGTGTTGAGAAGTTTCAGATGCATCATGTGCCAAGTGGTGTACTGCGTTGTATATTTTTTGCTTCGTTATTTCATCCTCAGGTTGTCACAGCGTTGACAGATACAGGCTGACGTGTACAGCTACACTCACAAAAACACACACAGACACACTCGAGTAGGGGTCTGAGTCCAGCTGGAGGCGGTCCCCTGCCAAACCTGCAGGCAGGCTGACTGTATTCATATTCATCACACACACACTGAGTGCAACTGACAGGACACGCACGCACATACACATACACACAGTGCTGGGGGAAAACATATATATTTCAAGGACACCCTGCTATTCCAAAATGTTTATGACGAGAAACTGTTTTGCTGCTTCTGCTGCATTATTCCCTCTGCTATTTCATCTACTATCACCAAAGATATCTGCACTGTACATTTTTTAAAAACAGGAGGGCCACTGAGAAACGTGAAATAGAGATGGATGTGGGGGAGAGAAAACCACAATTGGATGTAGTCTAGCAGCAGTGAGTAATGTCATGAGAGAAGAGCAGACTGGGGAGAAAAAGCGAGAAGTGAATAATAACCAATAGGCAGTGAGAGAGATGGAGGAAGAGTGCCTCTCTGTCAAAACACACACACACACACACACACACACACACACACACACACACACACACACACACACACACACGACAGAAAGGGACTCTGCAGGGCGCCAAATAATAACCTCCCTTGTTATCATCACCCGGTCAAACCGTTCTCCACTCCTCCTCCACCTCCTTCCGTCTTCAACACAATCATTGCCCTATCGTTTACAGTGTGGTGTAAAATGGGAACATCAATAGACACATCCATTAGCAGCGCAAGGTCTTCCGTCTCTGATTCTCAAGGGCTTTAATAGCTGGCACACAAACACACTCATGCCGCACCTCAGCCGACTGTTCACCAAGCTATCTCCACGCAGACAAAGCCCAACGGAGTGTGTCATTAAAGCTGGTTAGCAACACTGTCACTGTGAGGGTGGTGCTGTCAGTTAACCTGATGCTAGAAACCAAGAAGGATGGGACAGCATTCTGATTTAAGCTTCCTACAAGTAGCAATCCTAGAATTTCTCCTTTTCATTTATTTATTTATTTAGTTAGTTTACCCATATCGTTTCTGCTAACATTTTCATGTATTACCAAATCATAACCAAGTCTTTTTTAACTAGATTTTCTGTTTAAGCCTTAGCTGGCACTCTTTACAGTCTGTTCTGGCAATCACATGATAACTACCCTGTTTTTATTTCTTGCAAACAAGCTGCTGTTGCTTTGGGACAATTCCCCCCCCCCTGGGAAAGACCTGCCATATATCAGACATTTAGGATGAAATACTACTGAGCATTATCCATATGTGACCGTAGTCAAACTCAAACATTTTTTGTATGCTTATGTGAACTGTTGGTTATTAAACCACCTTTAAACCCATTAAACACTGATCTTGTTTTCGGTTCTACTTTAGTTGATAAAAGGAAGTATAGATGCATCATTTGCATGCCTGATTGTGATAACCTGGAAATACAATCGAGAGATCAATTCAGATTTCATTCAATTCATTTTTATATTCATTTACTTATGAGATGTTGCATCCAAAGCAGTTAAGTAAACGTACAAACACAGATATTCAGTGATCATAAAAAAGAAAAAATAAATACTAACTCGTACAGAGGCCAACATTATTAATACCTTGTTAACCTTGTTCTGAATTTTATTCACTGTAACAACAGATGCAAATTACCACAGGCAGCTGTTTGACAGTTTAATGAACATCAAAATAAACCCGAAGTCATTCAAAACAGATGCATAATGAGAAAAAGATAAGGAGGAACAAGAAGGGCAAATAGATTGAATGAGAGGGAGGGAAGGGTTTCGCACAATACCGCCTCACAAGTTGTAATTTCAGCACTTTTTCTTTTGGTGGGGGGGAGGGTGAAGCAGAATGTTAGGAAGCCCGGGAGGGGTGCAGAATGGATTTGGGTGGGGGCACATTCAGAAATTGGTTTTGACTGCATGCGCACGCACAAAGACACCCACACACTTACACACTACAGATGGCATACATGACAGCAGACATGCACAGTTACTCCATATGTAAAATGACACTGCATAAAATTTGTTCCCCAAAATGAGTCAAATTCGAATAATAACATTCTTTTCACAGTCTATTGAAGAGCACCAAGAAACTATACTCAAAGTGTCCTATTATGTTAAAATTACTGAATTCAGGTTGTTTTTTTTTAATTATTGAATTTATAGAATTTTGTGATACAAGTAGGCACTTTATCTACAAGAAAAAAAAGCAGCAACAGCCTCAGTGGTGTCTGATTCTTACTGTGGTAGGCTGATGGTAGACTGCAGACAGACTCTAGGTGTTTGTATGTGCACGTGCACACATGCCTGCCTCCTTCATGTCTGGACCTGGGCAGGCAACAAACAGAAAAAGAAAGCACAGAATAAATGCAGGTGTTGTTTGGTAAACCGTATTATTAAAATGTCAAACACACACACACACACACACACACAATGTGATCTGCAGCCTGAGTTAATGAACAGTGCACATGCATGTACACTCAAAAAGACAGAGACAAATCCTTGTAACCAAGACAATGCTTTGTTGCACTGAATTCAATGTGCTCTTTTCACATAGTTTATAGCACCTCCATCTTAAATAATATACAGTGTGTGTATTCTTAAATGATTCAACAGTGCTGAGTGATGTGTAGCAGTATTAGTTGTAAAAGCTCTGCACTTCATCCCCTCTAAAGAACTCACACAATTTTATACATGCACCAAATGCATTCACACCCCAATATAAACTCTCCGGATGGTCTTGAGAAGCACTAACAAGAAGTCATTTTGTATGTGTGTACATTAACACATGATTTGTCTTGTCAATTAAAAAAGTAGTTGGACATAAGATGGGTGAAAAAACAAAATACAGTGATGTCTCAAGAACAAGAGCCCCTCTAACACGAACATATGGAACCAGCTTTTGAAGCCACTTTGCAGTCTGTAAAATCAAATCTTGACAAAACATGCTAGAAATTGTGAGTCATCATGGCTGTTACGTCTCTTCTAATAATGTTGAAATGTCACTGATGTGCTTTTATGTGGTGCTCTGAACACAATAAAGAATTTCAGGATAAGGACAGCACTGGCTCTGATGTATTATACTGAGCTTGGTGTCTGACATACTCACAGCATGATGAGGCTGGGAGTGATGTGCACCAAGACAAGATGAATTATCAAAAGGAATTTTAGAGCACCGCATCTTAAGCTGACCAGATGGAAAGTGAGAAAGAAAAACAAGTACAACCTGGAGATGCAGCAGGGGGTCAACTAATGTATCCTTCCTAGTATTCACATAAACCTACACATAGATTTACTATAAACATGCATTTAAATTACTTTCAGTGAGATAAATTAAATATTATGAGGGTAACAAAACCATAAAAAGATGTAACATCATCCCTTTCATTAATTTACCATTTGTTCATGACAGTTCTAATGCTGTCTTTTCCCTGTTATGTTACTATTCTTCTCTACACAAGCAAAAGGGAAAAAGAGATAAATGAACCACAGCTGCAACTCATGATAATTTCCATCCTTAATTAATCTGCTAATGTCATTCATTTCCTGGTTACATTTCTGTTAACTGTTTCGGTTCTTAAGCGAACAGTGGTAAACCTCGTCTATGGCCTTGATCTGGATAATAATTCACACAAATCAAAATATAGTATTAACACTACCAGTATTAATAGTAGTATTGAATCATATCTCAGTTTTTCTATTGTCTCAGTCTTGGGTATCCTCTGCATTCCCTCAGGTTTTTTTTTTTTGGATGTGAAGTGCCATTTGGTCTCCCATTGTGACTAATAATGAGTCATGCTGTGTACTGAAAGCTGCGAGTTTATTCGTGGTCAATAAGCACATTAAAGTTGGAAGAAATATTCATAAATGTTTCCTAAGCCCCTTGAGCTGTATTAATGATTTCTTTGAGCACCATCATGTAGTTTTAAGAGTCCTTTTTTTTTATTTTTTACTTATTTTATCTTTAGCTCAAGAACCATTAGTGAGTGGTTGTGGTTAGATTTGGCAAGTACAAGTGCTTCTACAGAAATTAGAGGTATGTTTGCCCCACCGGGTTGCATTTTTGATTTGTTTAAACATCAGGAGTGGAGTGTTTGATCTTAAATCTGATCCATGACCAGGTTCACAGTACTAAATGAGAAAATAGTGTGCAGAGTCTACAGCTGATTGCAACCTAACCATTTTATTGTACATATGTAGCAGTAATCTTTTATCACCATATCAATCTATTCTTTTCCTTCATACTGCTTGTAGCAAACCCCATGTATTATAAAGAAAAAAAAAGCTGCCTAGACCCAGCTCTATTGAAACCCATGTTAAAAACATAAACAATAACACACCAGCTGTAATAACTGGACCTAAAAATTCTTAGAAATTATATGTACAATCTGAAAACCTAGTTACAAATGAAAGCACATAAAAAGAAAAGACAAATTGTCCAAAAGGTTACTGAAAGGCGGCTTGCTAAAATAGATTTGCCAGTGAAATGGGGTTCCTCCGAATTCCTCTCAGCCGGATCTACATCCTCAGAAAAAGAACAATGATTGACCTTGGCCAGATGAAAAATTGCCTCAATTGTTCATACTTCACTTTGATGTTAAACACAGTGAAACAGGGTGGCACAGGAAAGCTGCTCACCACAGCCTAAGGAGAAATGAAACCTTTTATGCCGCTTAAGAACTGCCCCCCCTCCCCCGCTTTGTTTCTCTTTCTAAAGTTTCCTTATGTTCAATTGCCTGCATCTGCCAGAATATACATGAAATTTACTATTTCTGTCTGACCAAGCTAGTGTATTCTTTACTGCTGTTCTTTTCTATGGTATGCTCCTTCCTACAACCCACTATGTTTTTTTTTTTTTTTTTAACCACCTCCTGCATCATTTCTCTCCCACCTCTCCATTTCTTTCATTGTCGTCGTCCCCCCACCCCCACTCCCATCCCTCTCTGCTCCAGTAAGCAGACTTGCTGAGACCTGGGAGGATATTAAGGTCCCAGCACGGAGTCACCAATTTATACTCTCATTAACAGATTCATGTGCTGCTCAGTACATAAAAAAACAACAACAAAAAAAAAAAACCCTAGGACCACCCACGTGTTTAGGCGCCCTCAAAACAAAATGCAACAATAAAGATCTGCGTTCCCTCTGCCGACTAAATGAGCCAATTCACGCAAAAGGAAAAAAGAAAGTTGCAAATTAACATACGTTTTGATGGTACAGGGGTTTTTTATGTGTTAACAAGAATATGCTATTAATGAGCATTGACTGCTTGAAAAGCCATTGTTGTGGAATAACCCGGCCTTGCAGTTTTTGTTTCCAATTGTGTTTTAAAAGACACTGTGTAGGACAATCAGAAGTTATACTCCTAACAACTAAGACAAACTGTGCTGTTAAGAGCATGTAGTGTTTGCATGTATCAGATAAATGACAAAGCATTGTGGTTAGGGTCATACGACAGTCACATTATTCCAAAAGCTTATTTATAAAAACCTAGATGACTTTATTCTCTCCACCAAATACTTCAGAGAAGCGGCAGAGTCAAATAAATGAACCCAGCTAGAAGTTATTAATGAGCTATTTATGTACTTGTAGTCCTGTTTGGCTCAATGGGCAGAGAACAATACAAACATTATGACTGTTAAGAGTTCAACTCCCACTGGGCCACCCAGGGCTAAAATACAAGATCTTGATAGAGTAAGATGTATGCACTTTACGCAAAATCCCACAGCTTAGTACAAGTTTTGTCTCTGGTTCACTGAGTATAATAACTGCAGTAAGAAAGTTAACCTTTGTATAACCCAAGAGAAGAAACCCTTGAGGTCAGGGCAAGACAGAAGCATATGGGTTACGGACAAGAATAATAGATAGCATACAAACAATACAGTACAATATTGGGAACAGTACAACAGTATAAAAATTCATCCAAGAATAGCATATAGATCACTATACTTAAAACAGTATTTTTGGAAAATCTGGCAAATCCCTAAATAGACACTTGGATGAAACTTTAAGATGAGTGGATAAAAGCTAAAGTTCGTTCTGTGGAGAAGGCACTGACAAATTAAAGCAAATAAGTTCTACTTATAGTATAAATGTCAGGTATTTCTGGCAACTGCTTTGTTCAGTTCTGCTTTAAAAAGAAAAACAATGCTGTGCTATGCTCAAACAACCAACAGGGCCACCAGATGAAGAAACAAGTGGGATAGCTGTTTTCATTTCTATACCAGTTACTGTATTTATGTTTGAAAGAATTATATCTTCTGATATTTGTGCTTTGTCAGAACACATCTGTATTCTTACCATATTGTGCCTTTTTGCAATAAAATCTAGTAGAGACATGTAGAGCTAGACCACCCAGAGCAGCTGCTCATACACCCTCCTTACTCAGGGGAAAAAAGGGAAAAAATAGTCACTTGTCTTAATTATATCCATCCTCTGGGCATGTCTTTTTTGCCGATAAACAGAAATCTAAGCCACCCCACCCCCCAACCAAGAGGCCACAAAACTCAATGTCTTTACGGAAAGCGCGTTTTAGAGAACACATTACCTCTAGATGGAAATAAACATATTCAGTACTATGTGAAGTTGTTTTCACTGAGGTTACAAAGGCAATTTGATTTTATATTGTTTATTGTTGGATTTTCTCTCCTGTATCCTGGGATTTGTAAATGATCCCAGACTATAAAGGTTACTGCAGAGGCTTTGCTAATAAAATCTGCAGGAAGTTCAAATCAAGTAGATGATTAATATATCAAAAGAGCTGGGAAGAAATAGCAATATCAAAATTTGTACAAAGTCTGGTACTTTGATGAAAAGGTGGAAAAAACACGCCAATGCTTGCATGTACACACACACACACACACACACACGTGCATGTGTGCTGTAATAAGGAGGTGTCTGCTCCAGGGAGGAGGTTGTTGTGACTGCACTGTTCTTTTTCATGATCTATAATTTTCAAGCTGGCAGTGTGTGTGTGTGTGTGTGGGGGGGGAACATGAAGACGGAGGCAAAGACAAAGAGAGAGAGAGAGACTCCACACAGGACCCCAGCATCTATCTGCCAGACAAATCCTCCACAGGCTTTGATCCTCAGCCCACTTCTTTCTCTGTGGTTTTTGTTTTCAGGGAAACAACTGTGATGTTTAGCTGAAATGTAGCTACAGTCTAAGGCCCCAAAAAGGGAGGACTCTCAAAATCTAATACAAAAAAAAACTTGTCATCAACCTAGTCCACACTTTCTTTCATAATGTTTTCAATATACTAAGAATCAAGGGGTTAATCTGTTTCTGTTGTATATTAGCTGAGATACTATCGAATGCCATTTGTTCCAAG